GCTTTGAGGCCGTGGGGGGAGTTGTCGAGATGGCCGAGGTCACGAACGTCGATTTCGAAGTGGCAGGGGACTTTCTGCAGATTGTTAGCCTTGATTCATGATAATGGGGGGTTGTAGTGAAAGAGAGATTACCTCTGCATCCGTGAGGATGGAGTCAATGTCGTAGTACGACATCTTTACTGTGTTATAACTTTTGGTGTATGCTTGAGGGAGACGCGTAGAGTGGATTTGACGATAACTACACCGACGCGCCGATGACATAATCGTCAACTAGACTACCCTGCACCTGAACGAACAACATCTTGATCAAGATCAAATAACAAACAGCTTCTAATCCATTGGTCTAGAATAGAAAATGTGACAGTTGATTCCATACTTAGCCGACGTTGCATGCATGGCCCGCCAACACTCACGAGGTCCTCTTTTGCGTCATTCGCATCTCAGACTTCGGTAGTCCGAGATCGGCGATCTCGGAGAAATGGGAGATGGACATTGGGATATTCGGTTTATTGCTTTCAAGAAGAATGGAATCAATTTTTGGTTATTAATGTCGTGTCGCTGTTCGGTGTTTGGACAAGACCGAGCTGAGTAACCTAAAGTTCATGATTGATGGTGATGTTTAGTTAAGCTACACCAGCTTCATCAACAAAGAGATTCAAGCAACTGAGTGTAAGAATATGAAAGAATGATGATAATCAGTCAGATCATGTCCATCAGATCGAAAAGGAAATATCCAGAAGCATACAGACTGTAACCCAACATCTTCCATCTTGTTTTTACTGTATAAAGCCACAAGCACTAGCCACTCAAGTCAAGCTCTCCCAAATATGACGACAGATTGATCCAAGCTCCCCCGATTCCCATTCGGCACCGACATTGCCGTCCCGATCAGCTCTTTAATCAACCCCGACCCCTCCCTCCCCTCGACTTGACTCTTCTCGACTTTTTTTGACATCATCGTCAATTGCACTATCACAAGCTTGCCTATAATACTGTGAGTTCCATTCCTTTATCAACTGCCCATTCATTATCTGCATACTCTAGTCAAACAAGCTCTTGCACCTTAAGCTTGTTCAATTCTCGTTTCAAACTCAATTAATTGGTCGATTGCTAATATCAACAGCTTCAAAATGGCTTCCGCTCTCCTCCGTTCAACTCCCGCCCTCCGCGCCGGTCTGCGCGCCCGCTCAACCCCCCTCGCCGCCATGGCCACAACCAGCTTCGTCCGCAACAAGGCCACCCTCCCCGATCTTCCCTGTACAAACCCCTCCCATTCCCACAATCTTCGACCTTCACAGCTAACAAAGCCCAGACGACTATGGCGCTCTTGAGCCTTACATCTCCGGCCAGATCATGGAGCTTCACCACTCCAAACACCACCAGACCTACGTCACCGGCTTCAACAACGCTACCGACGCCCTCGCTGAGGCCCAGCACAAGAACGACGCCAAGGCCGCTGCTGCTCAAGCTCCTCTGATCAACTTCCACGGCGGTGGTCATGTTAATCACTCTCTCTTCTGGGAGAACCTTGCTCCCAATGGCAAGGGCGGTGGTGGCGAGCCCGAGGGCAAGCTTTTGACTGCTATCAACGAGGACTTTGGCTCCTTCGACTCTTTCAAGAAGCAGACCAATGCTACCCTCGCTGGCATCCAAGGCTCCGGCTGGGCCTGGCTCGTCAAGGACAAGAACTCTGGCACTCTGTCCATTGTCACCCGACCCAACCAGGACCCCGTCACTGGCACCCTTGAGCCTCTTCTCGGCATTGACGCCTGGGAGCACGCTTACTACCTCCAGTACCAGAACCGCAAGGCTGAGTACTTCAGCGCCATCTGGGAGGTCATCAACTGGGGCACTGTTTCCAAGCGATTCGAGAAATAATTATGTTCGCGTTAGCTAAGTTGTAAAGCCCAAAAGAGTTGAAGGGAAAAAATAGCGATAACGTGTACGCATCCAAGGTCGACGATTCGTGACCATGCGTCGCCTGTTTGTTTGTCAAGATACCGAGTGTATAGTACCTTGAGGTTTAATAAGAGAACTTGAAAAGAGTCGATACGTGCAGTCTCCAGAAGGCAAGAAATGAGACCTATGTTCTTGGTGATGATGTCTCAGGTGAAGTTAGTATATCTGAGGACGGATTTCAGGCCAGTTATCTTTCAACAATTTTATTAAATATCGGAAGCTTCCCAGCTCCCCGCTGAGCCTTCAACCAGGGCCTACAATAGCTGATACCGCCATTCATGATATTGTGTTTCCACCATCACATCCCATAGGGGTTCGCCAAACCGGGAGTCGTGACTCTTTCCGATAGCCCTGATCAATCAGCCCGCACATCCTCAAAACATAAAACTTCATCATTCGCTGGAAAATACACCGATGCCTTCCGATTTCGGTCGCGTGTTGCTTCCACTCGACGTCAGTCAGAGCCAAATTGCCTCATCTTGCCAAACGAAAAAAAGCCATGTCACTGGCCCTCAAGATCAAGGCTGCTGACATCTCGCAATTCCCTGGTAGGCAGCCAACTCAGCCGGGAACTCCTCTTCAAAGATCTCAGCTGCGTAGCTGTACCAGTCGCTGTTCGCCTCGGAGGTTCGCGCCTCGAAGAACCGCGCGTACTCCCACCAGACTGGATACTGTCCTGCACAGTCCCAACCAAGGATCCAGCTGATGAGGTTGTTGGAGACAACAATATTCTTGGGGCACAAGGCCCCATGGGTGAGCACCGAATGATAATCAACACGAAATTGAGAGATCAGGGCCTTGGAGACAGCTTTGGGCACCGACTCATACATAGTTGACATGAGAAGCGCCATGAACTGCTTCTGGTTGGGGCTTGGACGAATTGCGTAGTAGGTATGGTCAGGATGCTTGTCTTGAAGCAAGGTGTAAGGTCCTGAATCGATAGATCCTAGAGGAAAACCTGCTCCCTGCTTGCTCTCATGCCGCATCTTGTGGAGGAGGTTGCGGAGTTGCCTGGCGTACATATACTTTTCACTATTTGTCAGTTTAGACCAAACATCCTCAAGCAACTCGCCAATCACGGTGCGGGTAATGGCGCCTTCTGAAGAAGAGATGTCCTGGTCATGAAGGGACAGAGGGAGAGCTCGAGTATGGCCCAGCATGGACAGTTTCTCATGCTGGACCATTCCAGCATTGGAGATGAGAAAGGTATATGTCTTGGGTTTGCCAGGCGCATCATTCTTCTTGCTCGGAGCGGCCTGCAAGCAGAGGTTCAGGTTCCGGTTTCGCAAGAGTGAAGTGAGGTACTGGGTGGAGTCGTCTGGCAGAGGAGCTACGCATACAATCAGTGCTTTTGAACCTGGAACCACTTGCATCCCTGCTTACCATGACCAAGGGGCTGAACATCGGTGTAGTACTTTGCCGCGTGATTGATTTTGGGCTTCTTGTCCTTCTGCACACGTTTCTCCTTGGCCTCCATCATGAGCTCGCTGATGGACCGCTTGAAGGAGCCTCCATCAGGTTTCTGAGAGCCTCGGGAGGAACGGTTAGACCAGTCACCCAAGGCATCTCCATTAGCACCTGTTTTCATGAAAGGAGGCAAAGAACCCTCTCTCTTGACAAAAAGGGCCGGCTTGGGAGATTTCTCTCGAGGAGCCTCAGCGAGCATCCGAATACGCTCAGGATTCATCGCATTCACATCAGGCGCGGGTGCAACAGAAGGACCCGAAGATGGTTCCGGAGCTGGACTCGGAGCTGGACCCGAAGCTGGACTCGGACCTGGGCCAGGAGCTGGATCAGGAGCAGACATGACCAGTCAATGAGTCGAAGAGATTTCTAGACTGCAACAAGATCTGTAAGGAGTAAGTGGTCCCAGAAGCTGATAGAGAAAGCCAAAGACCATCAAGAGCTGATTTCATTCGTAGCACAGGATTGTACTTGTGCATAACAAACGGGGACGACAAACGGAAAGCAAACTCGAGAATGAGTTGATGAGAGGTAAACAAAAACAAAACAAAAGATTTCAGGTCGGTGTCGTCATCTGAGGGCCCCTTCCTTTGAGGTGAGTCGCAAACGCAACTGCTCGCACCTGCCTGGCACTGGCAACTGAATAGCTGCGCCAAGGTCTCCAGTTCATGAGGCACCCATTCAAATACAAGAAAGCCCATAGGTAGAGTACAGGCAGTCGAATGGCTTCATTGCTTCTGAATCACTGCAAAGCCAGAGGGTACCTTATTTGCGGTGATTAGGTACCTACCAAGCACCGACCTTGTGTGATGTCAGCTGAATATGATAGAAACGATCACACCGATACACGAAACTCTAGCATAAATTGAGCATTCATCTCTGTTATTAGCACCTAGATGTTAATGAGTACGATGAAATGATGCCTGATCCTGTGCAGACTGTCAATGTCAGCAGATAGCCATGGACTGGCAGGAATTTAAATCTCAAAGGTGCAGGTCTTTACACTCACCCTGACTTCAATTACTTGCCGATATAATATAGGGATTTCATAAGCTCAACATGAATCTGATACTGAATATAAGTGGAATTCGTTCCCGATCATACGGCCCAACATTTCATACATAAGCCCATCGTAGTCATGAACATCTCTAACAATCCTTTGACCTCAAACACATAAGCGTCTATCCTCTTTTTTTTCTTACCCCAGACATTTTCGGATAAAATGGAATCTAAGACAAGGAGCACCGGTGAGTGCTCAAAACATTACTCGCCGTTTTCCTGGGCCGGCTCCTCTTCCTTTCGCTGCGTGTAGTGGCGAGGCAGACGATTCTCGCCCTCGGCGTAAGGGAAGCCAGCCTCTTCACGAGCCATATCGTTTACCCACTTCTCATTACCCTTGAGGCCAGGGTCGCGGCCCAGCTCCTGACACTTGGCAGCCAAGTAGAACCAGCCAAGAGCGTTTCCGACAGTGCCGACCTCGTCACTGACACCGTTCTTAGCCTCACGAGACATCCTGGAATGGAGCTCATGATCTGTGTAAAGGTCCATGAGATGTCCAGCAACGGTCTTGTAGTCGCCAGGGGTGACGAGAAAGCCATTGACCTTGTCCTTGACCTGAAGGGGAATACCACCTTCATTGGAGACAATCACAGGAACTCCGGCGTGGAGAGCCTCAGAGACCTTGATTTCGAAACCCTCACGAGTGGACAGCTGGAGAATAACGTGGGCATTGGCGATGACCATGTTGAGAAGCTGGTCGTTGGCGTCCAGGCGCATGACGCTGACGTCGTCGAGGAGGTGAGGATAATGATCTTCAAGTTGGGCCATGGTCTGATCAAATATAATGGCACCATCCGGGTCATCAATGGACCCATTACCGCAGCTGTAAATGTTAGCAGCAGTTCTGGCATTGATGCATCATTGACTTACACAACGAGCTGAGGAACATCAGAAATGTTGGCCTCATCACAACGGCGGCGGAACTCGGCATATGAGTCGATGACGGTGGGGATACCCTTGGCTGGGTCAAATCGAGCGACTTGAGCAATGTACTTGCCTGTAGACTGGTGTTAGTAATTTGCTACTAATGGATGAGAAATAATCTTACGGTTTGGCCAATCGAGCTCAGTCATTCGCTGGTTTCGGCACTGCTGGTTATAGATATGAGCATAGTAGCCGGTATCCCACTTGTTCATGTGTTTGTTGAGGCCATCAATCCAGTCGGTAGTGGCGGGGAGGTAGACGACTTTCTCCTTGGGAACCGTATGAGGAACAAACTTGGGAATAGGGTGGCTGATGAACAAGTCCGACTCTTTGATGTTGCTCCAGAGGTAGTTCCAGATGTCATTCTGGGGAGAACCCTCGATGGCGACGAGATCGCTTCGAATCTGAATGTGAGATCGGTACAGAATAGGGCGATCAGGTGTGATTCTCTTGATCATGGGGACGAGGCCAGGCATCTGAGGATCGTCGATCTGCACCGGTTGTTAACTTGCGTGATCTTAGCCTTGTGAAACAATTGACCTACAATGATGACATCGGCACCGCCATCCTCAGGGGGACGCAGAGGTCCACCCTCAGATAGCCAGTATCTCTTGGCATTATCCTCAATCCAATCGGTGATAGCAGCCTTCTCAGCGTCCGAAATGCGCTGGTCAGGGTGACTGACGCCCTGGAGAATGTTGTGCTGGTTCTTCGTGATTCGGAAAACACCAGGTCGTGGCTTGGGAACTAGAATCGAGTTAGAATCGTGCGATGGCTTAAATTCTTTGTAGTGTTTCTACTTACCATACCAGGTCACATCAACACCCAAGAGACGGCTGAGACGGACAAGAGCGTGTCGCATGAGAGCCACACCACCACCCTGGGGAGTAGCACTGAAGAATGCAATCTTGGTCTTCTTCTCGCGGAGCTTGTTGGCATAGAACTGCATAGCACCCCACGTGGCGCTGGAGCAAGTATCCTTGTGGTTTTGGAGGTTGGTGAGATGAACACGGAAGCCAGCGTCTGTCTGAACAATGCCACGGTAGCCGACCTGCAGATGAGGAACGAGAGAGGGGCCAAAGTTGCTGAAGAAAATATTGTCAGCTGCAATTCATGCGAACATTCGTTTTTCTTAACTTACAGAATACACTTGCGTGCCATGGAATCTGCTTGCTCATCGACGCGCTTGACGTCCCAGAAGTTCTTCTCCTTGGCTTCGTGGTCGGGTCGGAGCACAACAGGTACAATATCGAGGTCAAGCCAAAGGCGAGAGCACAGAGAAGGGCTCATATACTTCAGGGTGACAGGGAGACCAGCTCCAATGAACTTGACAAAGTTCTCATGCTCATAAGTCTCAACCTCATTGACGATGTGATCGGCAATGAGATCCTGGCCCTCGCGCATATCCTCATCGAGGGAGATGTGCTTGATGGAGAAATCATTGAGATAGACGGTGTCGTGGATAGCAAGCGCAATCACGGCGGTGTGGTCATCGGCGAAAACGGCAGAGATTCCCAGGTACAGAGTCTACGATTGAGCTGTGTTAGTCGCTTCATGTGCTAAAGATGAGATCGACCTCGGTCTCCATAGTGTAGGGGTCTCAAGAGCTCCAATTGCTATGACGCAAGTTGTCATGAGGGATACATGATACGATGAAAGCGGGAAGCACGGGAGACCAGGAGCAAACTTACCTGGAGAGGAGCATTGACGTGACCATCCTTCTCGACGAGAAGGCTCATCTGCCTCTTGCGGTGCGACGTAGCGCCCGTGGAAAACTTGCGGGTAGGCCTGTTGGAACTCATGATGGCAGCAATTGCAGCAATTGGCGGGGTATTGGTTGTAAAGGCGGGGTAGCAATTTGGTGCTAATTAAAAAAGAATGAGCTCTCTCTGTGACGTGAAGAGAAGAAAAGCTCAAATGAAACAACTACGGATGGATGTAAAAGAAGTGAGGAGAACGAACGAGACTGCGGCTGGGCGGCAAGATATAGTCTTGGTACACCTCCTTGATCAGGTCAGACAGACAGACAGACAGACAGCAGAAAGGCGGTCGTGAGTAGGAGGTCGGGATCGAAAGAGTAGTGGAGCTATAGCAACAGCTTAAACGTGGACGCCCCGGGTGAGATGGTAGAGTATGAGGGATCGAGGGCCCTGAGAGATTCGTGTTGGCAGCGACCGAGCAGGGAAGCCAGACAATGTGCAGAATGAAAGACAAGGTCAAGCTTGGTTGAGGAGGCCCCGTCAGCGCGGGTCTCTGCAGGAGGTTGACGAGGGTGGTGATGTATGTACAGTACTTGACGGCCTCGTGTGAGACAAACAGCCCAAGACAAGGAAGCCGACTGGGGGCGGGGAAGGGTTAAGAGACTGGGCGTGGGGTCAAGAGCCAGTTACGTTTGAGGAAACAAGGTGAGCAACTCGAGCAGGTGATGATTCTTCAAGGTGAGGAGACGAGTGGTGTCAGGGAATGGAAGACGAGGAGAAGCTTGGACGAGATGGATGCTTCGTGATATCACGTTGACTCGTGTTTGGTTGAGGAGGCAAGAAAGAAATTTTGAATGAGGCCTTGCCCTTGCCGCCTGCCTTTGTGAGTTGCGAAGGAAGCCACGGGATGGATGGAAGCAGGAGCGGGCGTTGGGTAACTGCAGGTGGCACCTACTTGTTCTGCGATGGCCCGTCTGCGTGTCAGTTGACAACGGGTTTTGTCCAATATCTTATCTTGGAAGCTCAAACTCAAGGTAACGACTTTCTCGTTACCAACGATAAACACGAAATCGAAACAAATTATCAGAGCCGAAGAGCCCGGGATCACGGAAAAGGGGGGGTCAGAAGAATGAAAGATGCAGGGCCAAGTGAGGTAATGAGGATGTGGTCTGATATGCGCTATGAGATCACCAGATTGGGTGAATTGGATCGTGAAACTTTGACTTTGGTGCTCGAAGATTGAAGAAAGACTTCGATATGAATCGCGACTTTATAAAAGACACAAAAGTGAAAATATCCAAATCTAAGCGCCGCCAACGTGCTTGCTGCAGGTACGGCGTCGCATTCAGATGGTGTTGGTAAGTTTTGGATGAAGGCGACAAAGTGAGGAGAAGAGGGAAGAGTGGGAAGATGAGATGCGACGAGTGACATTCTGAGCACTGCAGGAAGAAGGAAAAGAGGGACTCGGTGAGGTTTGTGAGCCCCCCAAGGGTGCAGCCACAGCATCACTCATTCTTGTTACTGTCCATTGAGTTGCTGTTGTGTAATGAGCTTCAAAGTGTAATGCTGTCCCGCTCCAGGCTAGCCAGTTACTGGTTAGATAGGCGGGCTTGGTGATAAACATCCATTGCACAGGAACAATATTGTTACAGGACTCTCTGAGCATTGCTTGCTACGGTAGCTCTCAAAACCGACATAGGCAGTGGGATATGAGAGATCATTCTTTAATTTTCTGTATATATTACCCGAATTACATCGGAGAGTTGCGCAAGACAGCGACACAGGCAACCTCCGAATTGCATCTATTCTATTCTGTGGGGGTTTTTATTGTAACCCACCAAGAATGCTGCACCCTTGGCACTCGGCTGGCACCAGATCAACTCTATATCTTCTTTCGGAAATCTAGGGTAAGTTTATTGGTCTGTTGCTTCAGCTGTCAACTGCTGGGTCGTCACCTAGAAAGTACACTACTGTACGTGTTAACGGGCCCTAAAACGAGGTAGCGCTGCCGAACCCCGCGTTGTCGGTGGGGTCCGTCAATTGCGTGAGCTGCCAGGCCTGGGCATCGTTCCACGAGGCAAGTGTCCGGGGGCAGGCAGGAAACTGCGGGCGGAAACAAGCCCCCCGACCCGTCAGTGAATCCCCCGCCGGCCAGGCAAGGCCAGTTTTCAGGGCCCGGGGAAGCTATCCTCCAGGGCACCCACTCGACCTTGATAATGGATCCTCAACCATCTCGATGCATCATAGAACAATGGACCTCTCAGGCAATTATGCAAGGGACTTGTCTCTTCCTTGTTATCTCTGTCCCTACCTACTTCATCTTCAGCCTGAATACCAACTTATGTAGGTCAGTTCCAGGCATGCGGGTGCTGCTTGAACTTGACGTGGTTCAAAGTCAATCCGGGGTCTTTCGCCGCTCAATTAACGGTCGTACAAATTGAATTATTAACATGTTTGACAAAAGATTTCACAAACATCCCTCAACTCATGCTGCAGGGTCTCCGACTCGTAACTCAGCCTCAACATCTCTCCCAGACAACTCCCACTCAAGTTGACACCAGAACGAGTTACCTCGCCGAATACGTACTGCATTTCGTACGACCTCTGTACAGATCGTGGCTTGCTCATTTCTTCACCGTCTCAAGATTCGGTCAGCTGCCCTCCCAATCGTATGATGACCTTTCAGGCATCTCGAGCTTATGGCTGAGCCTTTACCGAGATATCAATTATTCAATGCAAAGATTCATGATAGAAACTATCATTATCGAGCCCTAACATCCTTGATCGCTGACCGGCGGTGAGCTTGTTGGTCTGTAGAGGTGCCAATCATCCCACTACCGGCAGTACGCATGTGCCTCAGCAACATCTTCATTGGATCTGCTTTTGTCCTGGATGTGTCGGACAAGGTCCCCCAACAGATCCAAAGCGGACGGGTGAGCTTCCGGGCGCCGTGCAGAGATTACCTGTGCTTCACTTCTCGAGTTTCACAGAAAAGGCGGCAGAACATAAGCGGTGGAACCCACGATGCAAGTACTGCATGTACCTGTACCGTCAAGTTCAGTGCAACCCTTGCTTGCTCACTGAGTGTGGTAACACATAACCCCATGCCCTCATGCTTCAAAGTCATCATGGATGGAGACGGTCCGTGGGTCTTGAAGTCCCTGATAAAATTTATGAATGGCATGAGCACACGCGGCCAGGGACTATCGCAAGAAACTGGGTAGCCTCCTGGACGTTTCAACACCATCACAACATTGGTACGCAATTATCCCAAAGTCGCGATGGTCAAAGAGACGAGTTCGAGCCATGCGATGCGTCAACTTGCGCACTTCAAACTTTCCTTCACAAGCATGCGGTTCGCCTTCAAAAGCTGGCAATCACCTACGGTGCTGTCATGTGAGTTGTCATGAAGAAAAACAGGATCTTTCAAGAGGCCAAAGAGCTAACTTGAGCCAATTTACCAGCCAAATGCCCTCCAACTGTCACCAAGTCAATTGCAGGCATACTTCTCCGATGCAAGCCGTTTCTTATCAATCTGGTGATGTTGCAACTATCTCCACTGAGATAAGATCGGTCTCCGACCCTTGATCGCAGGAATGGGTTAGCAGCGACCGGCTAGTCGGGATCTACGATGTGACTGGCCGCGCGGCTGAAGACGTGGTCCCGACATTTTCCAATGTTCGCTGATGTGAGGCATCCTGATCTCAGAGTCACGTAATACTCATTTCACAGGAAACAATTTCAGAATTTCAGCGATTTAGAATGGTTCCAAAGGCTTCGTTCGGTGTTTTGGGCGTTTTAGCGCTCGCTTCTGGTGTCGCGAGCAGCCATGAACGAATCCAGCCAGAGCACGAGTATGCCAGCGAGAGGGCGTATATGGTTTTCAATGCGATCCATTCCGCAGGTCGAGAATGGGGTTCTGCCCTGTACCATAATGGATTTGGCTTCTTTCCAGCTACTGTACCCGAAGGCGCCCTGTTTTACCACGGTTCTCAACGAAACGTAACACCGACTGAGCCCGAGTGGTTGGCTTTTGATATCGAACACGCCGAAAACTTCGCGCGATCTTTCAAGTATCGGCCTGGCGGAAAGCACCCTGGAGGGCCCCCAGGACCTCCTCCTCCTGGCAAAAAGAAGCCAGATGTGGATCAGGGACAGACTGGGGAGGAAGAAGGCCGTCAGGAATTACGACGTCGCAGCGAGGATATCAAGACCGGCAATAGCAACGATCCGTTGGATAAGGTTGCTGACACAAAAGGGGATGACAACCCTGGCGTCGTGAGAGGTTACCTTCACACATACCAGACAAATCGTGACCTCAAAGTTCTGGTGATTGATGGTATGAGTGCTGGAAAAACTGACATGGGCACACTCGATTCACAAGATCTGGTCCTCCGCGAGAACAACACCAATAGGGGAAGTTTCGATGAATGGAACCGAGCTCGTGATTTGTGCGAACTAGCATCTGAATGGGGCATCGATGGCTTCGTTCGAATTGAGGCTGGCATCGAAATTATCCATTGCGACTTTGCGGACAGTTTAGATCTGGTCAGCATGATGCGTACAGAGGTGACGGACCGTATCATGGGGAACTCCGGCTTGGCAACGTTCCAATTTGTGAGGGCCATTGGCGAGCGATACGATGGTGTCGGACCTAATCGACTTCGGATCGATTTCTCGTCAATGGTGTCCGGCCTCTTCTTTCCCATCAACATCTCCAGTACTGTCGTGGGGCGCCCAGATCTGAAGAGGCTTGGTTCGGCGAAGCTGGAGGAGCTCAAAGATGTCAAGTCGTACTTGGCCGACGTGTTGCGTCAACCTCGGAGGTTTATCGTGGATTGGCAAAGCGTTGCGGACCTTGTCATCGCTCGTTACAGTAAGAGACTGGCACTTATGGTGCACGAACCGTTGCAGTCGCACTATTTCATCGATGAGGTCGAGGCTGCCACATTGACCTGGTACGACGCTCCGCCATCACCAGATGACAAGTCCGTGGTAGATCAAAGAGAGGTTAACAGGACTGCCGATGCTATTGAGCAATGTCGGGTACACTACCTCCGGCCAGCCCTCAAAGCCAGGCAACAATGGAGTTTCGAAGATGAGTTGGTCTACACATCTCTCGGCACGGTATTGGGCACGATCTGTCAAACATTTTTCTCGGTCCGCAATGCCTTGCTCGAAGCGTCTGGCTCGGATTTGAACGATTATAGGGTCAGATTTGACAACGAGAATGATGGTGAAATGGAAAAGGCGATCAGTAATGGCCGAGCAGTGATTCGGGCGCTGATGACGGATCTCGGTTGGTCGACCTGGAAGAAGCCACAGCCCTGTCAACCGGACGAGGTCAACACGATTGCTATGTGGCCGTTTGGAACTAAAGAAGACCATTGGCACCCCGGATGCCGTTCAATCGAGACAGTACAACAGCCTGGTGATAGTTACTGGCGGAACCGCAGACCTCGCAGGGTATAATCTCGTTTCCGCCATTGGGCCGCGATGATGAGCTCTCGTCGTTCTTTGTGTTAGTTGCAGCGTTCCCATCGCTGCAAAAGAGAAAGGCCGACGCTTCCACCTCCACGGGAGATGTTTGCCGGCTGGCAGTGGATTGAGCGATTAGACAACTCTGACAATAATACCCAATGCATTCATTAGCGAATCCAAGAAGGCAGTGATGTTCAGGGCTAATGCAAGAAGCCAAGATTAAAAATTGGCCAAAAACTTGAAATAGATCATATCATACGACCACGCCAGGAGTCGAACCTTTTGGAGATGTTAGTCTATTGCCTGGATGCGGAGAAGCTCGTTTGAATGAGAACCTACCTGGAATCTCTAGAGAGTTCGGGAGATCTGGAACCGAAATCTAGCGCCTTAGCCATTAGGCCACGCGGCCGATGGGAGATTCCACGAGAAAAATATTTATGAGCCCTGCTTGGCATCATGGTGGAGTTGTTGATGTTTGTGGGTTGTGCCGTTGCAGTGGGTATCATGAGTGAGGGATGAGTTGAGACGAACCATTGACCAACGAGAGGCGAGCAATTGTCAAGCAGAGCGGAACAGTTCCTCTGTCTGAACGACCCTTTTTCAGCTTTCATGCCAAGATATGCATCAAGGTCATGACGTGGGATGGAATAGACAGATCCGACATGCCTTACAAAGTCACAAGGCGACACAAATTGAGGAAGCTCTACGTATTACTCCATCAAGATCCCAGGTGCTTATCAATCTTGCAGCAATGATTCGCGCGGTGGGATTCCGCCCCCTGCGAATGCGACTCTGGAGTTGACGACAAAAGTCAGATGTTTTGTCGATGCTAGGAATTTGCAGTCTCGACCCGTTGCAGCCGCAAGAGCCGTTCCGATCAATCTTCGAGAACCCGGGGTGATCCGAAGCTTATTTACAGGTGTCAGCCCACTCTTTGTCACAGCTTTCAATGTTCCAAGCTCGTGGCATCCAAAATTTAAGGTCAAGAGCTGGGTATTTCCGCATCTCCGTGAACTGCAAGACTTTTCACTGAGCAATTGAGGCCTTTCAGCACGAAATAACTGACCTGTTTGAGCAATTTGACTGTCAGACAACTCAATGCAACGTATGCAAAACCATGACACAAGGGTATTTGATCGTCTCTGCTCTACCCTGCCTCTCCCAAACTTACACGCAAGACGGCGGGGCATTAGCATGAAAGGAACGTCAAGCCTGGAGATATAGTTGGGCCCTGCATTTCCATCAGTTTGGATCCGACGAAACATATTAACGAATGCAGTAACTAACATAAAAAACGGTATCCAAAAAAAGAAGCCCCGGCGCCAATCCCGGTGACGTGCGGCTCACCCCGCGGAGATGCTCTAACCAAAACCATCAGACCACTACCAAGATCGGACCGTGATCCAGGAACCCACACGGCGAAAGGCGCTCTATTCGGGTCCATGAGCTATTCTTTTCGCATGGCATGATGCTTGGCCTTGAGAGTCATGAAGACCGTAATGTTCTTTCTCCGCGCCATGACTGGTTCTCCGGCATGGTATATAAAGAGTCTAAAGGTTGGCCAGTTTGACGATATTATTCTCGGCATCATCTAGTATATCAGTACCACAACAACCTCTCAACTCTTCCTCACATCTCCTCAACACCAAACAAACAGTACACAATGGCTCTCACCGCAGCACAAGTAGCAATTGTGAAGTCAACTGCTCCCATCCTGAAGGAGCATGGCAAGACCATCACCACCACTTTCTACCGCAACATGCTCGGCGCCCATCCTGAGCTCAAGAACTACTTCTCTCTACGAAACCAGCAGACAGGAGCTCAACAAGCTGCTCTCGCCAACTCTGTCCTCGCTTACGCCACATATATCGACGACCTTGGCAAGCTTTCCCACGCAGTTGAGCGCATTGCTCACAAGCACGTTTCTCTCTTTATCAAGCCAGAGCACTACCCCATCGTCGGCACACATCTCATTGGTGCCATTGGCGAGGTTCTCGGTTCTGCTTTGACGACTGAGATCAAGGACGCTTGGGTTGCTGCCTATGGCCAGCTCGCTGATATCTTCATCCAGCGCGAGGGTCAGATGTACGAGGCTGCTGGCGAGTGGAACTCGTGGCGCAAGTTCAAGATTGTCAAGAAGGAGGCTGAGAACGACTCTGTTACTAGCTTCTACCTTGAGCCTACTGATGGCAAGTCTCTGCCCAAGTTCCTCCCCGGACAATACGTCAGCGTGCAGATTCCCATCCCTGAGCTTGATGGTCTTCTTCAGAGCCGTCAGTTCAGTCTGAGCGAGGCCCCTGGCACCGGCCACTACCGCATCAGTGTCAAGCTTCAGGGCCCTACTGAGGAGCCTGCTATTGAGGATCTCGCTGCTGGCAAGATTGCTGGTCTTCTCTCCACAAGACTGCACAACCGATACAACGTCGGTGACGAGCTTGAGCTGAGCCCTCCTGCTGGAGAGTTCTCCCTCGACCCTGCCGACACTTCTGCTGCCAAGAAGCCTCTTGTTCTCCTCTCCGCTGGTGTCGGCGCCACTCCTCTCGTCTCCATCCTCGACTCAGTTCTTCAGTCCCCGACCGCCTCACGGCCCATCACCTGGATCCACGGTGCTCGCTACTCTGGCTCTACCTGCTTCGTTCCCCACGTTCTCGACTCTGCTAAGAAGCACGAGAACATCACCACCAAGATCTTCCTCGAGGATGTTAAGGAGGGCGACCAGTACGACTTCAAGGGCGAGATCGACCTTGCCAAGCTCCAGAAGGAGCAGCTTCTCCAGCTCGACAACACTGATGCTGAGTACTATATCTGCGGACCTGAGGACTGGATGGTCAACGTCAGGACATTCCTCGAGGAGAACGGTGTTCCCCGTGAGCGCCAGCACCTCGAACTCTTCAAGACTGGTGATATTTAAAAAGTGATGCGCTGCATATGATGGGTTTCTTTTTATTTAATCGGTTTATTGTCTGGCATGTCGAGGGCGTTGAGGATCTGCCGTGCTTTTTTCGCCGCGGTATGTTTTGTTTGCTCAGATTGAAGAAAGAGTGCATATACTAGATACCAGATACCACCCTCAAAAACAAAAAAAGAACCATTCAACCTAATCTAGGTTCGCTTATTGCTCGATAATATCCAAAGTGAAGAACTTGAGCGTGTGTCTTGGTAAATAGCCGACGTATCAGTATCACATGTAGTACAGTGAGACGAGCCACGAGTAAAAGTAACGAGAGACTAGCGACAACATGTGTGTGTGTGTGTGTGTGTGTTTTATCTTCCCAGGCAAGGCTTGAGTTACGACTGGACGCCACCGTACAATGTCTCGCCTGTCTGTGGATGACGTTGTATGCAGTCATTTTAAACGATGATGGGGGAGAAAAAGTAAATATTGATACCCTTGTCTGTGGGGATGAGATCGGATGGTCAACCGATCGAGATTGAGTTGGGGAGGTATTACGTATTAGTTATGGGTGGAGAATGGGCATGATCTGAGGTGATATGATGGGAGATGTCATGAGAAGTGATCGTGGGAAGTGGTGTGGCCGTATGCAGGTTGATGTTAGAGAGTAGAGGGCCATACAGAATACAACTTATAAGAAATATCAGCCAGAGGAGAATAGTGTAGCTGTTCAGGCCAGTTACTGGCCACAGTCGCAATATTTGACTCAACTCATCAACAAATCGCTATCGTCTTCTTCGCCTCCACGCAACTGCAGCTCGCCGAACTACCCTCCAATGAAGCACACCGTCGAACCGATATATCAATCAAGCCTCTTTCTCAAATCTGCGGTGAAGAAAAAGGTAAGACCCAAACGAGGCTTTCTGTAAGGACAGGGCTAGCAGGAAAAGACGTGCCTCATGTAGCACCACATGGTCGAGGAGCACAAGGCGTGCTGTTGTGATACATTGCAGACAAGGGAAGAGACGCCACCGCTTGTTGAGATTGATGAGAGACTTTGATGATAATGAGGAATTGAGTTGGTTCTGACTTGATATGAGTGTTTGATTCAAAGTAATGAGTTTAGCATCTTGCACTTGATGATATCTCAGATATGGAATAGAGACATACATAGAAGATTCTCCTCTGCCTCATCTTGCTCATCGACGCCGATCCATTGGATCGGATACCCCTGACAAGGTCTCACGACGAGGATACCGACAGCATCGGAACCGCCTCACTGGCAAAAGCTACAGGATCCTCGATGCAGCACGACACGCTCCGTAGGCGAGTCCATGCATGAGCCTCTTTTTTCCTCACATCTCCTCCTTCACAAAGTGTGCGAAGAGCTGTTACTGTGCCACCAAAAACAAAATACAGCATCACTCAATTCTTCCCTCCCCTTCCTTCTATAAACCGCCCATCTTTGTTCCCCCCATATTTCTTGGCCGCCGTTCGAAAACATTTTGATGTCATGGCAGAGACTGTCCATCGGAAAGCTTGTGATCGCTGTCACGCGCAGAAACTCAGCTGCAAACGATATAACGACGAGGCGTGCGAGCGGTGCGTCAGACTCAAGACCGAGTGCAAGTCTAGCCCGTCTCTACGGTATAGGAAGAATCAGCAACAGCTTGCGGAGAGTCTGCAACAACAGCAGCAGCAACAACAGTTTGTTGAGAACGGGACGACTTCTTCTCTTACTGCTACTTCGAGTGGACGCCGCTCGCCGAAACGACGACGGACAGATAGTCAAGAGGATCCGAGTCTTGTCTCACCCGACGCGGGTACGTGCCCCCTACCATTCTGCTTTATCGCCCTCTTATTTCTTCTGTCTTGGATGCAACCGACTCACAGCCGAGTCAAGGAGAAGCAACGGTGTCAATAATACCCAATAACAATACCAATACCCATACCCATACACACACGGACACAGACAACAGCCTCAGCCTGACGTCTAAGAGTCATATCCTCCCCGTCTCCGTCCCTGTCCCTGTCTCACCCGATCCCGTAGTCGACAGCACCGACTTTGCCTTCACCTTCGACCAGCAGCTGGCCTTCT